ATACTTTATAATCATAGCTTTGTGCTTTTTGGGTTTGGTCCAGTAAAATTTGAAACAAAATATTAAAGAACTCACTATGTCCGGTCTTAGACTTTAATTTTGGCAGTAAAACATCCACTGCAGTCAGTCAGGGAGATCTTGATCTGTTCATTTTATAGTGCCCTGTCCTGTCATGCTTTGCTTCATTCAAGGAAATTGAGCTGTTTCTACATTTACAGCACTCATTTTGTTTGCAGTGTGTTTAGCCATCCTGTATCCATTCACACTGGAGATTTTAAGTTTATACCTCCTATCTTTTTCCATTTGTCACCAGCTGTGCAAGCAGTAGTCAGATCTTTTACTTGCTGCGGTGAAAGCACAAATACTACTGGAACAAATATTCAATTACAAGTAAAAAATGCTGCATTTAAAACTTAACTTCAGTCAAAGTAAATGCCTGTTTGTAGTAGAATGTACTCAGATATCCAAAGTGGACATACTAAAAGTGAAGTAAAGTTAAGGTTCATTGTTTGGGGGAACTTTTCCAAACTTACTCATGCAGTTAGATTTGATCATCATGGCAGGAAGACAACAGTAACTCGGACACAGAAGGTTTACATGATGCAACTGCATTCATTTTATTTTCACAGTTCTCACCTTTTCTCTATACAAATCATGGTTTTTGTTTTTGCCAAATACCTGCACCCTGATTGCAACAAATATACATGTTTAATATCAACAAACATCACATTACAGATCATTATCAGCATTAAAACATGTCTAAAACATGTACTCAAGACACTGTTGTTCTTACTACTTCTTCCACTTCAACCTAAGACTAGATTTCCTAAAAGCATTTTACCGTAACTCAGACGTCAAACAGCTGAATTTTAATTTTGATTTTAAAATACTCAAAGCACATCTTGGCTTAATTTTCAAGGAACAGGTTTGATTAACTTTGAACTAATTAGCTGTAAAGAAATCATACATTTTTACAAAGCTAACATGAAAAGGCTTTTTTTTTGTTTTTTGTTTTTTCTACTACTACAACAGCGTGGTAAACTGATCACTGGTTCACAGCCGCCCTGAACTGTGGACACACAAGCTATTTAACTGCAGCTGGGGTTGATTGGAGACTCCCGATTGGTAGCTTCGGTCGAATCCCAGCCACACCAATCACAGATGCCAGTGAACAGCAACCAGGAAGTAGGCGGTCTCAGCTCCAGAAGGACCAATCCTCAACAGGGAATCACACAGCTGAATTTGCATACCAGCAGAATAAATGATGAAGCACATGATGAAAATGCACTAAACGACAGCCAGCGGCGCCTGTAACACTACTGCTACTACTGCTACTACAACTATTACAACTACAACTACAACTACAACAGCTACTACCACTATGACTAATACTACTACTACTACCACCACTAATACGACTACTATAACTACTACTATTACCACTATTAACACTACTACTACTATTACCACTATTAACACTACTACTACTATTACCACTATTAACACTACTACTACCACTATTACTATTACTACTGCAACTACTACTAATGCTACCACTACTACTACTACAACTACTACCAGTAATACTACTACCACTACCACTACTAGTACTACGACTACTGCAACTACTACTACTACTGCTACTGCAACTACTACTACTAGTACTGCAACAACTACTACAACTGCAACTACTACCACTACAACTACTAGAACTACTACTACTACTGCAACTACTACTACTACTACTACAACTACCACTATTACTACTAGTAATACCACTACTACTACTACTACTGTTACGACCCGGCTCGATGTGGAGAGCAGTAACACACAATTTGGATTAGAAATGAAATGCGACAATTGACAGGTTCAGGATAAAATCAGATGTTTAATTAACTAAGTAGAGTACACTATTACTACTACTGCAACTACTACTACTACTACAAGTACTACAACTGCAACTACTACCACTACTACTAGAACTACTACTACCACTACTACGACTACTGCAACTACTACTACTACTGCAACTACTACTACTAATGCTACCACTAATACTACTACTGCAACTACCGCTACTACCACTAATACTCCTACTAACTTGGACACGCTCCTCCACGGTAAACTACTACAACTACCGCTACTACCACTAATACTACTACTATCACTACCACTACTACTACTACTACTACTACTACTACTACTGCAACTACTGCAACTACTACTACTACCACTACTACTACTAGTATTACTACTACTACTACTACAACTACCACTACTACAACTACAACTACTACTACGACCCGGCTCAATGTGGAGAGAAGTAACACACAATTTGGATTAGAAATGAAATGCGACAATTGACAGGTTCAGGTTAAAATCAGATGTTTAATTAACTAAGTAGAGTACACTATTACTACTACTACTACTACAACTAGTACTACCACTAATACTAGTACTACCACTACTACTACTACTACAAGTACTACTACTACTA